TTTTTTTTTGATTTTCACGTTGAGGTTCGGACTTTACTAACAGCAAAATTTAAAAAAATTCCGAGTAATCATGAATGAAATCCACCACTTGGCGTGGAAGTGCTCGAATAAGTCTTTTAAGTGTTTACTTGACAATAAAGAGGCTTCGGCAAACCTGCAACTCGCATAATACTGTGGTCCACGACTTCCTAAAAGGATAGAAAAACAAGTTTAGAACATCAATGCAGTCATTCGCTGTTTCGTTGGTTATATTGAAAACTATAACTGCTTAACCATTAGCGCCTTGAATTGGAAAAAAAATTTACAAATAATTTAAACAGAGGCTCTGATTATTCTTCAGCTTCCAAAAATCAAAAGAACAAATGGACAATGAAGAAAAGCAGCTAACTATTATATTCTTATTTTCGTTCTTAAATGAATATTTAAAAACAATTGGAATCGTTTTATAGATGCAGGTATGAATTTGTTTAATAACGTCTAAGAAAATCTTTTATATTACATTTTTCATAAAGTCGGCAACATCGTCATAGTATCTTTTCTTGAATAACTCAGCATTTCTTGCAAAAATATGATAAGATCGACACTTGTAAGGCCCATCTGTCTCAGCTAACACGATATAGTCATGATGATACTGTTCCGCTGGCCCGGCTTTCACCAAACAAACTGTAATCAGATTTTTTCACTTTAATACCACATTTGTTTCTAAACCTACCAAAATTTCTCAGTCATATTTTGCAGGATAAGTAAGCTGCAGTGGAGGAGCGAGAGCAGTAGTTTTTGGAGACAAAGTAGTTATCTCTGGAAGTAACTCAAACATTTGCGAAAGTACGCGCAACGTGCAACACTGTTTGAAACTTGTCTCTCTTAAGGTCTACTCACTAATTTTTCGTAAATAAGGCAGTGATAAAAAGAATTTTTTCTTTTGCAAATGACAGAGTAGTTTTAGTCTTTGTTAAAATCAAGCGAAGAGTTCGAGGAAAATGGTTTTTCAATTTCTTAGCCATGTCAGTCTGATAAACTGCTAAAGCTGAAAAAGAAACAGCCTGTTTAGAGTTGTTTAAAAGCTAAGTGCCGTTTCTTAGACATTTCAAACCGGAAAATATTACTATTTTCTTTACTCCTGGAGAAGGAGTGACATATTTATCCATCATAAAATAAGTTTCATATCAGTCTTTTGTGCATGCCTAAAATTTAGTTTAAGTTTTAGATTTAAATTTAGACCTAAAACTATTTTAGATACACAATATTTATTACAAACACAATGTCGGAATGGCAGGCACTCAAGTGGAATCAAGAAGACTCTTAAAGGCGTACTCTCTTAACTAATAGAATTAAAAGACTGGAAAAATGTAAGAAAGAAATTATTGATAAAATAATTACATGAAGATTCCAAACTGGATAACCTCAAGCGCAGGACCCCGTCCGTTCCGTTTGAGATCGTACCACTTGTCTGAAAAGAAGAAATTTTTGAAGGTGTACACTTTTAACATAAAAGAAGTTGGAATTGAACTATTTATTTTGGCTGATGATTAGCATACAGTCATTTTTACCTTGGAAACATTGGTTGCAAAACATTTAAGAGATGGGAAGCAGAATTTTAAAAATTTTTTAGTTTTTGCCGAATGCCTGAGTTTAAATCCATTTTTATAGTATTAAAACATTTGACCTTTTTTTACTTATAATACTTTTCCAAAAACTCAGCTACTTTCAGAGCAATTAACTGATAAAACATCTCTATTAGAAACTGAGAGGGTTTGTTAGAAAACAAACAAACCTCATACAATTCATGTTGCTTTGTGTCATCTCGAAAATACAGGTAGAATCTTGAACCTCGTTTTTTCAGCTTCTTAACTGAAACCATATTTAAAAGACACTGTTTATCGCATATTATATAAAATCAAGAGGGTGATCACCGCGAAATGAGAAATAAGGAAATGAATTTTACCTTGAAAACCAACACAACTTGCTTTTTTCGTTGTCATCGCTGTGGTGACAATATTCGATTTCAAACTGATTGGCCGTAGACTTAACAGCGTTGAATATATGCTTCTCAAAGCAGATGGATTCCCGTATATCTACAAGTTTATTTTTATTTCTCTGCTTATTACTTTGCAGCTTTCATGTGTTAGTGGCCTTTGCATACCTGTGTCCATGCACCAGACAAGCGCCCTAGTTCGACCGGGATACATCTAGCGCATGCCTCCTTAACATTTGGCTCTTCAAGGGTTAATTCATGATTTGTAGTTTCAGTAATGGGAAGCCGGGATTGGCTTCGTGTTGGGAATTCACTAAAATGAAATACTGACGATATTAGTTTTATCTACAACTGGTAACACTTTATTGTGCCAGATTAGCAAACAAACTTTTTGTACTCCTCTAGCGTTCTTATTGCTCCTTTTTTCATACCGTTCGCTTCAGCTTCTTGGATCAGATGTTCTTTCAGCTCTCTCAGAGTATTTCGTTCTTCTTCAGTCAACAATTTGCTATCCATATTTTCATTAATATCAATGCCGTAATTACTTTTAAAAAATTTACGCAAGTAGTCGTCGCTCGCGTATTCTTCACGGTCGTCTAAAATCTTCTACTTTATGTATTTAGGAATCAACTTACAGGTATATATCCTTTTAAAGCAAAGAAAATCTGGCAGTTACGTCAATATGCATCCCACTATAACTTTTTTAAACCTCTTATAAACATAATTTGAGTATAAGTTGTAATAAAAGACATTTAGCGATGCAAAACCAAAAATTCTTTAACCTTTATATGGAAATGCGTTTTCCAGCTGAGTACGAGCAGCAAACTGCTTTGTCAGGACCTTATTCTTTGCATTTTGCAAAACATGACCTCCTGTTTGTTGGTCACGGATACTGCCGCTTGTTTCGTCCTCAAATGTTGGCTGAAGTGTTTCTACAGATGGCGAAACTCCGTGGCTCAGAAGTTTCATCCGCTGATTCAACATGTCTTGTTGCTGTTCAGTCATTAAGAGCTGGAACAGTGACTGCAGTTTATAAAACTAACAGGAAATTCATAAAAAATAGGTTTTGACGAACGACCTTGGACAGGAGTGGGTTATCTCTCACGAGATACGAGATTTGACATAAAAATTTTTCTGTTTTTTTTTTAATCAAGAAAATTTTTATCAATCTTAATTTTCTGTTTAAAAGACTCAGCTGCGTATTAAAAATTAAAGTCACAAAATGAAATATATTAAAAACAAAGATTTGGTGCGCTCAAATAGTCTTATTGGTGTTGATAAATTATTGTATTATAACTGCTGTCAATAATTTCGCAGTAATCATCTGAAATGTTTTAGTTTTTTCTATTTATTCAAGACATATATCGACTGTTTGACTTGTTTTGTTTTGAACGTTTGTGATATTGACTCTTGACCTCTGATGAAACGAGTAAGCCATAAAGAATTACCGCAGCACCAGCTTGATGATCTAGCATAGCCTGCTGATATTTTCGTTGTTGGTCCAAATATTCCATTTGTTTTGCAGCATATTGGCTGAGTTCATTTTGATGGCGCTGTAGTTCGGCTAAGTACCGCTCTTTGCGATATTGGTTGATAGCATCAATGTTCTAGAACAACATTTCTAAAATCTGTTTTGATATATCAAAATTGTAGCAGAGTGTAAAAGTACAGTGAAGAATTTTAAATTGAAAGATTTCTTAAATACCTCTGGTCCAGATATTGGAGAAGCCGGCGGAACATTTCCAAACCCTTGGACCAACAGACCCAAATTTTCTCTACCAAGACCAAACGGTTGTCCACCGTTTGATAAAGTAACTAGTTGCCCTTAAAGTTCTAATTCTGGACTTTTTAATTAGAAACCATTTATTTCGTACCTGTGCTGTTTGGTTGTCAACAATCAGTGGCCGCTGTCATATATATCTTACCAGAGAATGCTATCCATACGACATTGCTTTGAAGTACTGTTACCTGGTTGGCCGTACGGATAGATGTATGAAGCTGGTAAGTCAGTTCTGTAAAGTCTGTTGTTTGTAGAGTAAGTAGCAACCCCAGGTACTGCGCCGATATTTGGAAATGGATTTTGAATTGCTACAAGGGACTTTCTTAAGTGGCTTATTAGTTCATTGAAAATAGAGACAAAATAGATGTTAATATGTTATTAGCTAGATGATGTCAGCTTAGACAGTTAAGTCTGAAAATATTTAAAGTAGCTTACAATTTATTTCTAAAAAAAACCAAACGTAACGCTGGCTTACAAGAATATAATCCGTTTTGTCCGCTGCTGGTTAAGTCAAATAAACCAGATGGCGCTCGTCGTATCTCTTCGATGTTTAAAGGCAACTGTGGAGTCTTCGTTTTTCTTTCTATTTGCGGAAAGATTGATTTCACAAAAGCACCAGCAAGGTTCATGGCCAATCGATCAATGACTGAAGATTTAACTATCTGAGCAGAGCAATTCTGACGGTGTTGGTGAAAAATTGACGTTGGTTGAAAAAAGAGTAGAAGTTAAAGAAGAAGCTTAGATTATTTTAAATTGGATAAGTAGCTAACCTGGATTAAGATCTTCTTTAGTGTCTTTATTACTTCTTTCGTTTTTTTCATTTTTTTCCTTCTTTTTACTGTTTATTTTATCAACTGCCACCAAAAGCAGTAAAAAAGTGTGAAGTATTTGCATCGATCTATTTTTTTGGAAGCTTTCTCACGACTTTTGGAGGTGCTTTTTTGTGGAAATAGTTGATTCGCAGTACCAAACAGCTAAATTCAATTGAAGAAGTTCTCCTACTGAACAAGAAGTGAAAAATACGATAAAAGAGTCAATTACGAACATATGTATTTATCAATAAAGATTTAGAAAAAATTTTAATTGAAAAGTCGTAGATACATTTCGCTGGCAGGTGGGTACCGACTGGCAGTCGGTATAGCCAAGAAGAATTGCTTGAGAAGATGAACCTTAACGGGGTTAAATTAGACAAGAAATTTCTGTCTTTGTGAAGACTTACAATTAAGTTATCAAACTGTAGTACCTATATTTTACACTAAATTTTGTTTTACTGGTTCATTACTCAGTTATATGCTAAACAATTGTTACTCCCAACCCTTGAAAGAAAAATAGAATTAACAGAAAAAGACAATAGAAATAGTAAAAATGTAGAGACGAAATATTTAACAATTAGAGCTAAAGTAAGATTTTTGTTACACTTGCTTTCCTTAGAGACGAAAGGTGTAGAGGAACCGACGAAATAACCGGTAATGTAAGCAGTTATTTTAGTTTTTCAAGCAGATAAATGGGAGATTTAGTTGTATTTCACAAATTTGCGTCTTATAAAAATTAAAAACAAGTGTAATTAAATTTCTTTTATTTATCGTAAGACTATTAATCAACTTATAAGTTATACTAAGTAAAATAATAAAAAGTTTGTTCCAGGTAATCTACAGCAATTATGGAAACACTTTTGAAGTTGTTCAAAATATTCATTAAATGAATAAAACAATCAAACAAAAAAATGACCTCTGTATAGTTCTATTAAAATAACGATACTTTCAAACTTATTAGGTAAAAGATTAGATTTATTTGTACGCTTATTTCACTAAATACAGTAAGCTAACAAACTTTTACATGTAATTACTATTGCAAATGTTGTCTATACTTCTGGCTGATAACACTTAATAGGTGCTAAAGCATTTATACTTTTTTTTTTTGCTAGGCAGTCTACGTTTCATGACTTAGACTTGTATCAAATTACATTTTGAATTTAACTGTACAATTTAAAAACAGATTTCTTGATGAACATTTTTTGAAAAATCATAATCTAAAATGTCATATTAGTGAATGCCTTAAATCAACAACAATTTCAGAATATTTGCTAAAAAACATAGGTTTTTTATTCACAGAAAAGAAAAAACCAAGCAAAACCAACATATTGTTTAATGAAAGTGTATGTGTCACTCTAAAGAAAAAATTAATCTGTAAAAGCTGACAAAAGTTATCGATTACAGATACGTTTCACTGTCTAAAATTTTGAAGTTAAAACTTATCAAACATTATTCTAAATCATGAATAAAAATTAATCAAAAAGTAATAATGCCGGCTTTTAGAAACAAATTTATTGTTATGTTCTGAACAACCAAGGTGGCTTCCTTCGCAGCACTCCCAAAACAAATATGCCCCCAATTTTTTTTGACGTTGACCTAAAACAGTGCGATAATTCCAGTTCGTCAACTCCCGAATTTAATCAATAAAATATGCAACTTTCTGGAGAAACAATGACAAAAATTTCTTGAGAAGGAAATAAAACAACGCCGAAAAAACGTAGTTTTTCTAACAACGGCATTTTTTTAGCCCGTAAACACCCTTCTGTTAAATTCAAGTTCATTGTCGACAACTCATCTTCTTGCCTCGTTGTGCGTAGGCCAAATATCACTATTTTCCGCATAACAAAGTCTAAACTGTTATAACTAAGCTAGCAGCTTAAACTACGAGTTAAACGGTGTAATGTAATAGTCATTTGGTAGAACTTGTTGAGGTCAATTTTGAAACAATAACTCACTTTTATACTTTAAAATGTAGAGAACAACTTTTAATAACTTAGAAGCTGGTTCAGATTGTTAAAAAAAACTGAATTTTAAAGGCTACTGTGACTGATACTTAACAATGGCAATACTCTATGCTGTTTTGCTAGTCACCAATTTTTTAATCGCATTTGAAAGGCATCTTTACAAATTTAGGTCTGCAAGAAAAGAAGAGAATCTTTTTCGTTATAGTGGCTTCGCTATTTGGAACTGTCCTATAAAACTTAGGTGAAATATGCTTGTATCTCTGTTGTCACAATTACCGTCGAAATCATGTCAATTCATATTCTTTTTTTTATTGACAGAAATATTGAC